CATTGCACACGAGCCTTAAACTTAACATTTGAAAGTTATAACTTCGGTATCGATTATAATCTTTCATGATGGATCACGCTTTTTATAAATTATAATTTACACCTCAAAAAAATTATACCTTAACTTTAAAATTTATAATTTTTGGTACAATACCTTCAATGATACTGTAGCCCTTCTGTAAGTTTTGTATTGAATTACCAAGAAAACACAAATAATAAACCTCTAAAATAAATGAAAAGATAGGTTATTCACAGTTCAAAAGTTGCATCTAGTTGTTGCTCATTCAAAATTTAAGTAAATCTGTCTCCCAATTATCTCTCTTAAATATCGTCATAAACAAAAATTTTATTCATCAAAGACGACCATATTTTATATATATATATAAAAGAAACAAAAACATCAGAAAAAACGCCTTACCAAAAAAGAAAAAAAGAACACATAAAAGGAATAAAATACGCTCTAGTTACATCATGACAAATAATTTACTATGGTAATAGATAATCATAAAATACGTAGAACTATATTTAAGATATAAGTACATAAATCGTTTTATATTAGGGATTGAAGCCTATACAAATTTGTTTATGTAAGTCGCAATTTAACCGCTGTTAATTTCTGAAATTTGCATTTAGTCGAGATAAATTCGGTTATTATAATTTAGATTTTTGTCAATTGCATGCAATGGAAAGACAAAGGTAGGCTGGTCAAACTTTACCTACTACAAAAACCTTATTTTTTTTTTAAGAATTATTAATCAAAATTAATAGTTAGGTCATTGGCAAAATATTTTATAGCCAAACTAGTTATGTATACTCCACCTTTGATGATATCAGAAATTAGTTCAATCCCTTGATGTTTAATATCATCGTAACCAACCATTTTTAAAATAAAATAAAAAAAACATCAAGTTTGCTTTTATAAAATTATTGATTAAGTTATAAGAAATAAAAAATGTATTGTTAAAAGAAAAACATAACTAAAATCAGTCTCCCTCTCTCCCTCTACCATCCAAGAGCTGGGGAAAGATCATCTGCCTTCTAAACGGCGTCGTTTTGCACATTAAACGGTGCCGTTTCATTTACAAATCGACATCATTTAAGGAACAACACCACTGCCAACAACCAGGCAATTCAAATGGGCAAAAGAGAGAACCAGGCAAAAGAGATATTTCACTACTCTGTGCGAGTGCATTGCACACAAGTTAAAACCTAGAGTTACAAGATAATAGGAAGAAAACTCTGTTGAGTGAGCTGAGAGATAAAAGACTAAAGAATAGATGTCAGTCTGTAACCATCTTTGTTCTATAATGACTCCAAAGTCCTTTAATAAAGAGATGTTCTTATTCAAATCAACAACCTTAAACAACAATTAAGCATGCCAGTTGTGGACCCTATCAGAATTAAAATTACACCAAACAACAAGTTTGGACCCACCAATTCTTGTTGGGAGTGAGAAATTTTATAATATAAAATTAAACAGATTTTAATAAGTTAATCTGAATAGATTCATCCAACGGTCACTAACATACTTCTCAAAACTATTCATATTGCATCGTACCTTTAAACATAGGTTATCTTTAGTATTTTACGTTCTCAATTAATAGCGGTTACTTATTACTTTGCCAGATTTTATTTTTAAAAAAAAATCAATTTTATGTCCCACAAGTTAGTTTTGTATCAGTCTCTCATTGGATATTCACTCCACATAACAATGTATTTTGAAACCTATTCTAGCTTTTCTCCATTGAATGGGAAACAATATGGTAGTAATTTTTTATTTTTCGATACCATATGAAAAAGTAATAAAATAAATCCCAAAAAATAATAATTACCCAAAAAGTGATGAATTCTAACCAAAAAAAGTGATAAGTTAAACCCAAAAATCCAAAAATGATAAGTGAACCTAAAAAATTAGTGAATGACAAAAGTTAGAAAGTTATGTCAAAAATATGAAATAAATACCTCAAAAGATGGTAAGTGATGCAGAACAACAAAAAATTGGTATTGTAGTCAAATCCCTTATGAAAATGATAGGACTTTGTTCTAATCCCACTTCATCAAACCTTTCTTTTCCTTATGTTTGGTTTCTCCTAATCTATCGAAGAGAAATATAGATTTTTTACGTTACGTTTGATATGCAGTAATGTTTTTATAAGAGAATAGAATTAAGGTAGTAATAAAATGGAATGTCTGTTATTATTCTAATGTTTGGCAACAATTAAGATTAAGCACTGGAATAGAATTGAAAATCAACTCAAATATTTAAATAAATAAATAAATATTTAAAAAATCCTTAGATGCGGATCTCGACCCTGATCCTGCACTCGACATCGAACCCTAGATCTTGACCTGGNTTAAGCACTGGAATAGAATTGAAAATCAACTCAAATATTTAAATAAATAAATAAATATTTAAAAAATCCTTAGACCCGGATCTCGACCCTGATCCTGCACTCGACATCGAACCCTAGATCTTGACCTGGGAACCCGACCCCGACCCCGACCCCGGGTGGTGGTGGGGGTGATGGTAGTAGTAGTGACAAATGATGATATTTAGTAATGAAAAATATTACCAAATATTGAAGAATTACAAATTCTATATTGAAGGGATTAGACATTCTATGGGAATGAGAATGAATTTTCATTTTTTATCTATCCTTTTGATTTTTCATCCGTCCATTTTTACATTGTACCAAACAGAACATAAGTAATGATAATTTTATTCCTCTATTTCGTTATCACCTACCAAACATAGCGTTTAAGATTTTTCGACTAATCCTCTAAATTTGATTGCTTGTTTCNATTTTTTATCTATCCTTTTGATTTTTCATCCGTCCATTTTTACATTGTACCAAACAGCACATAAGTAATGATGATTTTATTCCTCTATTTCGTTATCACCTACCAAACATAGCGTTTAAGATTTTTCGACTAATCCTCTAAATTCGATTGCTTGTTTCATATGTACAGGAGGACAACTACCAGAATAAATATCTGTGAATTGCCCGAAAAGAGATTCGAGCTCACGTCAATTGCATCGAAAGGCACAAAAAATGTCCTTATCAAAGATGTTAGATGTAACAACATTAAAGTTCAATCCAACAACAATAAAGTTAAATCAGCCAATCAACATTCACCACAAATTATTATGTTCTAAAAGCTCTACTAAGCCTAAACATATAAATGATATAACCAACCCCACAAATACTAGTACCAAATTTATCCATGGCACATCTATTTTTACTAGAAGTCTAGTCTATCTTAGGCTAATTTCGATCTCAAACTAACTTACTTAATAGTCCGGAAGAGAGAGATTCAAAAAAACTCAATTACATATCCTATCTTAAGAACTCTGGCTCAAAAGAGAAAAGAAGATCAGACTAAAAGAGATATATAACTTTTGACAATTGAGTTTCACTTTTATATCAAGATTGGTTCGAACTGATTATATCAATTGATGCAGCACATTCGCCGTCATACAATCTTTTGTGAGATCAATGTGGCCCGTCATTTTGTAAGCAAATTTTGGTACAAAATTTGATGGGAAAAACATTGCTCATAAACATCCTTCTGTCAATGGGTGTGCCCTAGTGTCACATTGTCTCTCCTAGTGGTCAAGTATTATGGTTGTCTCTCTATACAACCACCCAACCCCCCCAAAACAAAAGAAAAAGAAAAACCCTCTCTCTCTCACACACACACAAAGAGAGGAAAGAGAAGAGTATAAACTAATAAAGGGGGGACCTAATAGTACAAGTCCCATGTGATTGGATTGGGAGAGACATTAAAAAATATATCAGAAAGAAACAGGAAACTCAATGTCTAACAATACAAGTGTGTGTTGGCATGTATAAAAATAACATGGTTGATTGTGTAAACATTAAAACTAGTAATGAAAATGATAGTTTAATGAACAAATTATAATAGATTATGAGAACAAAATACAAGAAGCAACAATGAAGTTCTATGGATGCATGCACTCAAATGGAATTTAGGTCGACATCCGATCATTGAAACCTGCAATGCCCGAAATCCACGGACACCGGTATCACCATAACTATCATCATCATCGTAAGAATCATACCATTTTCCGTCGAATAATAATAATCAAATGGTCACAATAATCTAGAGTTTAGACTTCAGCATTACAAAACAAGAGCATGAAGCCAGTCTGGCCCTTGGGTTTTTCATATATGTAATTGATGTATAATCTAATGGGGAAACAGATTGAAAGGATCACAATGAGTTCGTGAAAATGGAATTCAAATGAAATCATTGATACGAAGCTTTGACATTCATGATTAGTACTAAGCTGAAACTCAAAAACTATGTTAAATGCATGGAGGGGAGGATCAATGTGTGCACATTTTAGTTACCAGGAACATGACTAGAAAATCAATATGGGTTAGGCCCCAACAAAATTATTGGAGTTGGCAATGAAACAAAAAAATTGAAATCAATCAACTGGAACAAGGTGAGACTTAAAAATGACAAATATGCATACTCAGAAGAGACAAATTTAGGATTCATGCAATATTTGGCTTTGAACAACTTGGAATATGAGAAAAAACAAAAAACAATCATAAAAAAAGGTGAAGATAGTACAAATATGATAGAATTCAACAAGAATACTAGGCATGCGTTCGAAAATATTATGCAGTAAGTATGGGGTGGAAAATCCATAGCTTCAAATTGGTAAAGCTCAAGAGTTTTGACAAAATATGGTATTGTTCACAACAACTGCCATCACAATGAAAGATTCANTAAAAAAAGGTGAAGATAGTACAAATATGATAGAATTCAACAAGAATACTAGGCATGTGTTCGAAAATATTATGCAGTATGGGGTGGAAAATCCATAGCTTCAAATTGGTAGAGCTCAAGAGTTTTGACAAAATATGGTATTGTTCACAACAACTGCCATCACAATGAAAGATTCATATGTTGCTGATATGTATGCCAAATAAAATACCATTACAACTTCTTCAAATAGAGATCAGAGCTTATAGTTCATAACAAGAAGCAATTGAGAAAATATATCAGATGCATGGAACAGGGAGATATCAACTTAAAGTGGTAAAATTCTTTTTTCCATTTTTGGTTTTGCCTTGTTCAAGTGTACAACAAACAGCACCCTTACCCCCACCTTATATCAATGGATGCTTCTTGCAACAACCAGCAGGAAACCACCGTAACACTAATTCCATATTCGACATAAGACACTGAAAGAAAATAACTAAAATAGAACATCCAGTTACTAAGATGTCTGGGTCTTTTTTCACTTGGAAACAATATGCCTGAGCCACAACCCAGTTAACAAAGGAAATCACAGGTAAGATAATTCAAAAAGATCAGACACTAAAAGCAGAGAGTGATGACTTATGAGGCACCTTCATGATAAGCTTGAATTAGGAAATCCAATTTCAAACCGCCGCCCCTCAACACCTCCAAGCAGAAGCCGAGATGAGTTCCTTTCGCTGCCAGCAAAGAACAAGCGAAGACTGTCTCTTCTCAACATGGAATCCCCGCACAGGTGTCCTCTTCACCACACACTCAGCTTGGGATTCTGTGAAATTGCTGAAAGTTAAAGGGGAGAAACCACATGACAAAAACAGAGTCTTCCAATGTTGAGTCTTCTCAGGGCAATGATAACGGCCCATTACAATTTTTTCAATGCCTGGTTGGAGCAAGAACCTCTCAATTTTTTGCAGGGTGTCTAAGTTCACATTTACAGCATCAAGTGACTCGAGTAAGTTTGTGTACGAATGAAGGGCGTGAATTACATGGTTAGGAAATGGGAGGTCAGTGCGGTCACAGTCTCTGTCCACAGAGACCACAATTTTGGGAGAGAGCTGCTTAACAATGCGAAGAACCAAAGGGAGGGGCACTTGGTAATTGGAAATAGAACCAACTGAGAGATTAACAGCAATTGCCTCATTCTCAGACACATGAAGAGGCATTGACCATGAAGCAGAGTTCAAAGAACCAATGTTTGCAATATCAAACTCAAATGCCATGTTGATTTCATCAGCAAAATGGATTAAGTTTTCCCGGGTGAGACCAAGCTCAAGCTGATCATGGATTGATGGAGATGCAAAGGCAGTGATTTTGAGCGAAGGAGCGCCACCACTTCTTAATGCAAGTTCCTGCATAAGCGAAGCCCATTGCCCACCATACCCAATATCGAAATCGATAATATGAATTCGATCAAACCCCTCTAATACTTCAAGCAGGGCTTGATTGCAGGTAAAGTTAGCAAATTGAACGAGGGGTGATATTTCAGAGAAAGATTTATGCGCACCAATCTTGTAAACAAGACTAAATGGAGAACAATCAGGCATGTTATTGTTTGTATGGAGGAGCAATTGCAGAGCTTCCTTGCAATAAAAAGCAGCCCTATGGAAAGGCTTACCAATTGGAGAGAGCCGGTGATTGAGCCGCGCCAATATCCCTTGCGCGAGTATGGGATTCCTCGTCTGGACCATCTCTGCGGCCTTGTATATCTGATCAATTATCGCCTGTTGTTGTTCATGGCAGTGCCCCATTCCATCGATAGCCATTTTTGGCTTCGTTTCTAGTGCTTGCTTTTGATGCACATAATGAGGAAGCAATGGAAGCTGGTGAGGAAGCCCCTGAAGCTCTTGCCCGGAATCGAAAAAAGGGACATTTGGAATCGGAGAGATGGGTTCAAGGTTGCCGGAGTTGTGTCTTTTTGGATTTGGTGGCATAGGAAGGTGTTGCTCTAGCTGGGTGTGTGGCAATGGGAAGAAAAAAGACGAGTTTTGAGTATGCTGAGTTTGGTGCTGGTTAATCAGCATTTGCTGGTTGAAAATCCGCGGCTTCAAATCAGAATATTCAAATGGTGTTTGTTGCTGTGGAGATAATGAAATGGGTGAAGGACTGTGTAATGGAGATAACCGAGGGTTTTGAGGGTTAGGAAGCTTGTAACTAGGAAGAGTTGAAGATGGGTTTTGGATCAAACCAGTCTTTTCATTGTTGAACTTGTTGGCCAAACCGGAGGGCAAAGACGGGTTGATAGTACCCATCAAATTACCACCACAGGAAGCAAATTGGCTGACTGGGTCCACCTCAAATCCTTGATCTGAAACCCCAAAGCCACCATTGAATTCAAAGTCCACCGGACCACTTATTTGCAACACCCTGTTCAAGGCCATTGATGGGTCCTCCACATCCCCCATGATCCAACGGAAAAGAGATTGTTCTTGGCTTGGTGATGCCGCAACAGAATCTGATAACACACCCTCAAAATCTTCCATTCCCAGACAACATTTCTCAGCCCCATTGGTGGTGTCTCCGCCGCCGCCGATCTCAAGAGATGGTAGAACGGGTTGGAGCTCCAGAGTTTCACCGTAGCCAGATTGAAAACCCACATTCGAACTACTAGTTGTGTCTTGTTGGGTTTGGGGCCATTTTGAAGATGCGCTTCCCGAAACCGCCGCCAAGCCGGTCGCGTCGGTAGACCCAGAACCACCTGTACCTCCGCCGCCTCCACCACGCGAAGAAGAAGACAGGGTTGAAGTAGAAGTAGGAGGGCTTGGGCTGCTGATGGAATCGAGGACAGAGGTAGGCTCAGTACTACCCACAAAGCAACCTTCTTTCTTCTTGCTGTTCCACTTATGTATCAATGGGTTTGAGGTTGATGTAGCACTATGTGCAACCACCTCTATCACCCCCTTCCCTTCTAAATCAAAGGGTAAGGGCATCCCCTTCATCTAAAAGAACCCAGAAGAACCCAAGTCTCTCTCCAGTTTTGAAAACCCCCTCCCCAAAAAAAAACCCAAAAGCTTTCACAGGAAAAAACAGAGAAAACAGAAGAAACCAGTCTATCCTGGAAAAAAAGCCATACGACCTGGGAAATTTCAAATGGGGAACAGTGAAATTATTAACTTTTCTGACCTCTAATCAAAAATTTTTGACCCACAAAATCTTTGCCAAATGCATGCAACTCAAACAACCAATTTCACCTCACCCACATCAAAGTGCTCTTCTAGACATAAATACAAACAAGTAGTGTGCTATCTTCTTGTATGGTTGTGTTCTTCTCTGCAGAAGCTAAATAGCGTTGGGTGGTTGTGGAGCGTGGTGGCGTTATATTGCTTTTCTTCTCTTCTTTTCTCTTGTCTTGTCCCTTGTTCTTGTACCTCTCTCTGCCTTCCTTCTATTTTCTGCCATGGATGCGTGCAATATAAAAAAGCAGCAAAGTGCCTCTCTCTCTCTCTCTCTCTCTCTCTCTCTCTCTCTCTCTCTCTGTTGTATTTTTATTTATTTATTTTTTCAATTTTCAGTTTTTATTTTATTTAATTTTTGTGGCTTCTCTGTCTGCAGACGCAGTTATCTTCTTTCTAAGGCCTCTGTCAATTGTCCACATCACCACCACTCGGGAAATCAGCGCGTACATCGACTCTCTCCAATTAATTGATGGGCGAATTGCATTTTTTACCCTAAAAATTTAAGAATTCTTACTTTGTACTCTTTAAAATTAAATTTTTTATATTATACCCTTATTTATATTAAAATTATTACAATGCGACTATTTCATTAGTTTCTACTACTCATTTCATTAATTTTAATGAAATGGTTTATGGACGTAATAAGTATTAGAACCTAACGAAAAATCACATTACAACATTTTTAATATATTAAAGGTATATTTTTGAAGCGTAAAATGAGATTATCCCGTAATTGTTTCTTAAGTAATCATACTTAAACACCGAAAATGCCTTAGCAGAAACATTTAAAAATCAAACTTGATGAATCAATAATCAATTTTCTCAACAAATCTACAAATTTTGTATAATCAATAATTAAATTAAGTTTTGATAAAAAGCACACAATACTTAAATTCAATTCCTCAAGAAAATAAATTTATTTTTTTTAAATTTGGTTTTGTAATTCAAATTACCTCATGTCATGACAGGAATAAGAGTTATTAACGAAACTAAAATACTTGTACAAATTATCAAAGTGACCTCCCAAAAAAAAATTGCTCGTTAAAATAGTGTTCAAGGGCGGCCGGGCGTAACAACTTTTTAGAACATTACCTTGAAATTCTAACCTATTATAAAATATTTAATTTGAGTCTTAGCTAAATTTATGACAATTAAATTCATCACCAAAGCACCACCGAGGACCAATAATGCTATATTGGCCAAAGTTTCTTACTAAATTTTGTATCTTAAGTGATGATGAACATTGCTAGATCTTATTTAATAATAAAAATTATGTTATATCATTTAAAATAAAAAATTTGATAAGAATAACATTAAGATTTAATTAATAAACCTTTACTTTTGTGTTTTGTCTGTTGAACCCTCTGTGGGTCCACCCTCTTTCTCGATAACGATCAAATCCCGGTAGTTAAGCAATGGGGACCCAATCATTGAAAGTACCCTTCAAACTCATAAAACGCGCGTTTGATTCAACAATGATTGTGTATATTTTTTTTTACAGAGACCAATGATACAGAGAAAGTTGAGCTGCCTAAATGGCGTCTTGTGTAATTCCTATCATACCCTTGTATTGTCCATTCTTTATTTTTTATTTTTTGTTTCATCAGCCAAGGGTTTTTATGAGATTCTTAAAATTCGAATTTAAAGCGACTCATTTATAATTAATTCTTATTATTATTTTTTACTATTCAAGTTTGTTGTTCAAGTGCTTTTTCAAATAGGGATACTATTGTAAATTGAGTTTACCTGCGTCCTCATGTCTTCTTTGTGAAAATGGCGTGAATAATCTGTCTTTAATTGAATTGGAGAAGAAATTAATTAAGATTTGTATAAATTAACCTAAATATCTTTTGTCATTCAATAAAAAAAAGAAATTTGATGGCATAAGTCATATGATAACGAGGGACGAGTTTACGGTAAAAAGATATATTCAGTACCATATTATCACTATAAAATTTATAATTTTTTAAAGTTATTATAATATTTGTGATAATTTGTGATTGGTTTTTTTTTTTAATCAATTCTAATATTTTTAGAATCATACAAGTTTTCAAAATTAATTATATTTGTTATAGTGACCACCGGTACTTTTTTGGTTAAAATATGTAGGGATAGTTCAAATAATAATAAGAACGAACTATAAATTTAGATGTATTGAATTCAAATATTGACAATCGTTTATAGTCAGATTTATCTCTCATGAATACTTATTCATGGTGTGAATGATCTGTCTCTTACTTGACTGAAAAGAGAATTAATCAAAATACGCATAAACTGATCCGAACACTTTTGACCGTTAAACAAAAAAAAAAAAAAAAAAGNAGTTTCACCGTAGCCAGATTCAAAACCCACATTCGAACTACTAGTTGTGTCTTGTTGGGTTTGGGGCCATTTTGAAGATGCGCTTCCCGAAACCGCCGCCAAGCCGGTCGCGTCGGTAGACCCAGAACCACCTGTACCTCCGCCGCCTCCACCACGCGAAGAAGAAGACAGGGTTGAAGTAGAAGTAGGAGGGCTTGGGCTGCTGATGGAATCGAGGACAGAGGTAGGCTCAGTACTACCCACAAAGCAACCTTCTTTCTTCTTGCTGTTCCACTTATGTATCAATGGGTTTGAGGTTGATGTAGCACTATGTGCAACCACCTCTAACACCCCCTTCCCTTCTAAATCAAAGGGTAAGGGCATCCCCTTCATCTAAAAGAACCCAGAAGAACCCANTCCACTTATGTATCAATGGGTTTGAGGTTGATGTAGCACTATGTGCAACCACCTCTATCACCCCCTTCCCTTCTAAATCAAAGGGTAAGGGCATCCCCTTCATCTAAAAGAACCCAGAAGAACCCAAGTCTCTCTCCAGTTTTGAAAACCCCCTCCCCAAAAAAAAACCCAAAAGCTTTCACAGGAAAAAACAGAGAAAACAGAAGAAACCAGTCTATCCTGGAAAAAAAGCCATACGACCTGGGAAATTTCAAATGGGGAACAGTGAAATTATTAACTTTTCTGACCTCTAATCAAAAATTTTTGACCCACAAAATCTTTGCCAAATGCATGCAACTCAAACAACCAATTTCACCTCACCCACATCAAAGTGCTCTTCTAGACATAAATACAAACAAGTAGCGTGCTATCTTCTTGTATGGTTGTGTTCTTCTCTGCAGAAGCTAAATAGCGTTGGGTGGTTGTGGAGCGTGGTGGCGTTATATTGCTTTTCTTCTCTTCTTTTCTCTTGTCTTGTCCCTTGTTCTTGTACCTCTCTCTGCCTTCCTTCTATTTTCTGCCATGGATGCGTGCAATATAAAAAAGCAGCAAAGTGCCTCTCTCTCTCTCTCTCTCTCTCTCTCTCTCTCTCTCTCTCTCTGTTGTATTTTTATTTATTTATTTTTTCAATTTTCAGTTTTTATTTTATTTAATTTTTGTGGCTTCTCTGTCTGCAGACGCAGTTATCTTCTTTCTAAGGCCTCTGTCAATTGTCCACATCACCACCACTCGGGAAATCAGCGCGTACATCGACTCTCTCCAATTAATTGATGGGCGAATTGCATTTTTTACCCTAAAAATTTAAGAATTCTTACTTTGTACTCTTTAAAATTAAATTTTTTATATTATACCCTTATTTATATTAAAATTATTACAATGCGACTATTTCATTAGTTTCTACTACTCATTTCATTAATTTTAATGAAATGGTTTATGGACGTAATAAGTATTAGAACCTAACGAAAAATCACATTACAACATTTTTAATATATTAAAGGTATATTTTTGAAGCGTAAAATGAGATTATCCCGTAATTGTTTCTTAAGTAATCATACTTAAACACCGAAAATACCTTAGCAGAAACATTTAAAAATCAAACTTGATGAATCAATAATCAATTTTCTCAACAAATCTACAAATTTTGTATAATCAATAATTAAATTAAGTTTTGATAAAAAGCACACAATACTTAAATTCAATTCCTCAAGAAAATAAATTTAATTTTTTTAAATTTGGTTTTGTAATTCAAATTACCTCATGTCATGACAGGAATAAGAGTTATTAACGAAACTAAAATACTTGTACAAATTATCAAAGTGACCTCCCAAAAAAAAATTGCTCGTTAAAATAGTGTTCAAGGGCGGCCGGGCGTAACAACTTTTTAGAACATTACCTTGAAATTCTAACCTATTATAAAATATTTAATTTGAGTCTTAGCTAAATTTATGACAATTAAATTCATCACCAAAGCACCACCGAGGACCAATAATGCTATATTGGCCAAAGTTTCTTACTAAATTTTGTATCTTAAGTGATGATGAACATTGCTAGATCTTATTTAATAATAAAAATTATGTTATATCATTTAAAATAAAAAATTTGATAAGAATAACATTAAGATTTAATTAATAAACCTTTACTTTTGTGTTTTGTCTGTTGAACCCTCTGTGGGTCCACCCTCTTTCTCGATAACGATCAAATCCCGGTAGTTAAGCAATGGGGACCCAATCATTGAAAGTACCCTTCAAACTCATAAAACGCGCGTTTGATTCAACAATGATTGTGTATATTTTTTTTTTACAGAGACCAATGATACAGAGAAAGTTGCGCTGCCTAAATGGCGTCTTGTGTAATTCCTATCATACCCTTGTATTGTCCATTCTTTATTTTTTATTTTTTGTTTCATCAGCCAAGGGTTTTTATGAGATTCTTAAAATTCGAATTTAAAGCGACTCATTTATAATTAATTCTTATTATTATTTTTTACTATTCAAGTTTGTTGTTCAAGTGCTTTTTCAAATAGGGATACTATTGTAAATTGAGTTTACCTGCGTCCTCATGTCTTCTTTGTGAAAATGGCGTGAATAATCTGTCTTTAATTGAATTGGAGAAGAAATTAATTAAGATTTGTATAAATTAACCTAAATATCTTTTGTCATTCAATAAAAAAAAGAAATTTGATGGCATAAGTCATATGATAACGAGGGACGAGTTTACGGTAAAAAGATATATTCAGTACCATATTATCACTATAAAATTTATAATTTTTTAAAGTTATTATAATATTTGTGATAATTTGTGATTGGTTTTTTTTTTTAATCAATTCTAATATTTTTAGAATCATACAAGTTTTCAAAATTAATTATATTTGTTATAGTGACCACCGGTACTTTTTTGGTTAAAATATGTAGGGATAGTTCAAATAATAATAAGAACGAACTATAAATTTAGATATATTGAATTCAAATATTGACAATCGTTTATAGTCAGATTTATCTCTCATGAATACTTATTCATGGTGTGAATGATCTGT